CCACTTAATTGAAACACGTGAAGAACACGTGATCTATACTTGAAAGTTAATAAATCAACGGAAACGGTAACAATATTTATACTTTTATATTTTTTATACTTTTTATACTTTTATACTTTTTATATTTTTATATATTTATATTTATATATTTTTTATACTTTTTATACTTTTATATATTTGTACTCATATACTTTTATATATTTGTACTCATATACTTTTATATATTTATATTTTTATATATTTTATATATTTTATATATTTTATATATTTATACTTTTATATTTATTTATTTTGAGTAAATATAACTTAATCAATTAAAATTCATACTTTTTTTTCTTTATTTTTTTATTTTTCATATTTAATAAATAGGAATTCTATTTTTAATTAGTGTAATTATTTTTTATATTTTTTTCTTGTTTTTAATATTATATTTGTATTTTGTGAAAAATATATAAATATAAATTGTAGTTGAATCTTAACTCAATATATCAGAACTTGAGAATAAATAACATAATAAAACAAATATCTTTTAATATTTAAACAATTTGTTTTTCTCTCTTAACTGTACACTTCAAATTTTGTGAACAAGTAGCTTTGAGATCACTTTGAGATCATATTGAGCTAATTAAAATATTAATATTAAATTATTGAATTGATATTTTGTTATAAACTAGTTTCTTGATATTTTTATTATAATTGAATTATTTGAAATCTCTTAATTAAAGATATCGTAATTTCTTTCTTATGAGAAGGATGAAGTGAAAGAGTCTTTATTATTTCTATTATTTTGTTAACTCTGAAACATATTTATATTAGTACAGAGAATTTATTTATCACTTTAATTAAATAATTTGTAAATTAATTAGTTAGTATGATTAATCAGAACACTATATCTAATTGAAACTCTATTACTTTATTTTTTTTCCCTTTTCAAACTGTAATAATTTCAGTAAAAATTGGTATAAAACTTAAATATTATTTTTATAATTGTTTAATTTCCAACTCTTGTTTGTATTTATTAGCTAATTATTTGATTAGTAAAAAATGGATAATAGTATTCGTTCTGCCTATTACAAATTGTTGAAAAGAAATATGTGCTAAAAGTTGCAAAATTTATTCTTAAAAAGAATAGCTTAGTTTAAAAAGAAATATGAAGAAAAATGTAAATATTTACAGAAAGAAAATTTAGAATATGATAATATAATTGTATGCTAAATATTGAATTTTCTGATATAATTACTACTTTGCTTCTTTTCTTTAATACAATCTCAATCTTTTTAATAAAGATAATCTAGATATATTTCACTATAATATATATGTATAGTTGCAATTAATAAATAATATCTTATTAGTTTTGATATAAATGATACATAAATTGCTGTATTAAATATAAAACTATTCCTTTTCACTCATTCTGCATATTGATATATTAGTTGAAAGTTAAAGTAATATCGATAATTATGCATGATCACGTGATAATAATGTACGTGCAAATGCACGTGATTTGATACGTGCCCGTAGACCGGTCAGTAAACTTCCCGTTATTTGTTTATATAGGTCATGTGGATTAAAATCCGAATTAAATTGATTTGGATTGCATTATAATCCACTTATATGACGGAACCAGATATTTTTGTTCAGAGATTAGTGTCAATATTATTAGTCCAAATGAAATTTGTTCTGCAATAAATGTTGATAATAAAGAGGTATTGATATTAAAGAGGTTGATAGCAAGGTGGCTGAAAAGATAATCAATCTGGCCAATCAGAACTCTTTATCCTCTTTAAGTTATTATGCTGTCCCCACTATAATATACAAGAATTATTTTGATTTAGAAATTGCGTGAAATAAATATATCTTGCGTATTATTACACAACTAAAACTTTAATATTATTTCACCTTATGCTATTGGTTATAATTATTTGAACACAACACACATGCATACATGCAACATGGAAACACGTACCTTTCACTACATTTTTTATACTTCACCACTAACATTATTACTTACCACTTTCACTAACCACGAAACCACCATCTACACCTCCCTTTTTTCTACTTAACCTTCCGTTTTCATTTCTTTCTTGTTTGAAAAGCTTCACCTTCCTTAAGAGTGAGAGAGAGTGTGTGTGTTTTTTTTTTACGAAATCCGTTATTTTATTTTGCATTATTTATTTCTACTTTTATTTTATACAGAATATACTCAAAAATTCGAAAATTCTGAAAATTCCTTTCTTTAATTTACTTGATTCTTTTTCTAAAATATATTATATCAAAACAACAGACACCTGTTCTTTTTGTAAAGTAAAACAAAAAAGAAAATTATTTATTTAGTCTTAAGCAACGACGAGCCTTATTATAATTATTATAAACCTATACACGGAAAACACGAAAAACAAAGAACACGAATCCACAAATTTTGTCAAAATATTAAAAATTAGTTCTTGGATAGAACTATTAACATAAAATAATTTTGACCAAACACCATAATAAAGAAACCAGCACAAAAATCGAGAAATAATGAGTGGAGACACGAAATTGATTTTAGCGTTGATTACTAGGATTGGACTAAAGGTGTTTATTTTATTTTTACTTGAGGATTAAAGAAACGATCTTAAATACCAAACCAATTTAAATTTGATATAATTTATTAATATCTCGTTATATTCTTTATTATTATACTATAATCAATAGCTACCATGTAACAGTGGTAAAAAATTAGAAACGATAGAAGCCGATCCTCTCGTAATGCAAACTGTCAATGCGATTGTAGATCTTTCTAGATTTAAGCTTAGTATAATTGCCAAAAGTTTGACCCAATTATTGGAAAACATATCAAAGGTATCTAATATTTAGAATGGAAAGAAATCGGTTGTTATTAATATTAATGGGATGAAAGAGGGAGAAGGGTCGATTAATAGACATAAGATGAAAAAACGAAAAAATAATGAATTATTATAGATTCTGGATGGGAAAATTTTTTCATCTTGGATTGTAGTTCATAGAAACGCAATTATTTCAAGAAATTATTTTGTAGTAATAATAGTAACAATTGTATCGGTTTCTATTTAATAACAAATAATTTCATAACAATACTTATTTTTTTTATACATATTCAAGCCATCCTCAATGGTTCTAGAAGATTTCATTCCCATCGATATTCTTCAATCACAATTATTCATACTGAAAATACTTTCAGCGTGTGTAACGCACCACTGGAAATGGTATCGTGGAGCACAACGAGGAGAATTGTTGGATGGTATTCCAAAAGCATCGTCATCATCGTCGTTTTCATCCGTTGAAATCAATAATATTAATAACAATGGCAATAGTAATGGTAATCACGGTATTTCACGACAACCATCGGATGACTCATCAATCGATACTTTAGTTAATAGCAATAGTAATATAATTAATCTTAATGGTAGTAATTCAAGTAATGTTAATAGTAATAATAATAATAATATTAATGGAATCTATAATCCGTCAATGAGTAACCAAACATTTAATACTCTAACCTCGATAATTCCAAATGTTAATAATAATGGAATTGGCAGTAATATAAATCCCATCAACGAGAATAAAAACACTAGTAATATAAATCCTAGTAATAACAACAATGCTAACAACAATATGAATAATAATGCATCATCATCAAATGGAACAACTCGACCATTCAAACTCCCTAAATCATGGGACGATCCACCACAACTCGAGGATTCCCTAGCGAAGTATATTCTCAGTGTTCTCTCTAGATTTCTGCATCAAATGGCGAGTCAGGAAGATAATTCGCCGAATAATCAACCAATTGCCGGTGTTCCTGGTGCAAGCACGCCAAATCCAGGAGTTGGAGGCGGTAGCGCCTTTGGTGGAGGAGTTGTCAATGGTGGGAATGCGGCAGTTTATTCGACGGTTACTTATGAGATTATTTGTGATATTTTTAAGAATGCCGGTAGAGTTATTTTCTACATTAGTGCCTCGAATTGGGGTGTCGTCTTTTTGAGGATAAAGAATCGTATGTCATATTTGACTAGTACTCATGATGAATGGCCGGAAACGGCCGAATTGAAGCTGTTAGAATGTTCAGATTTGAACTCAAAACGGCTTTCAATGGTTTTACAAGGTTTTTTATCATATATTTCTGATATTTGAATCATTAAACCTAAAGATAATTAGATATTAATGAAACTGCTCTTTAATCACAAATAGAATTATGTGGAACATTTTTACACTTAAAAAGATCTTCACAAACAGTAATGGCTGTAATATTACGAAAGGCAATTTGGAATTGGATCGAAGTGTTTCCCGCGGAATTCGTGACACTTTGTCAATCACAAAAACGTATGGAAGGCGGTCCCGAAATATTATTTGATATCTGTTATAATCTAGCTGATAACACAAGACGGAAAACGGTGTTTTGGCCATTACAAACAATGCTGTTGATCCTCTGCCCGGACATTTTACTAAGTGCCGCAATGGCTGATCGAGGAACGGCTGTAATGTCGAAAAAGGCATTGTTTCTGGAAACCCTAAAAAAATCATTACGAAAATCAGCTTTAGCAGATGTTGCTGCCGTTTGCTATGTGGACATATGTAAAGCGTCGACTTATGTTGCAAAAAGCGACAATTCGGCGCTGCGATTAATTGTGCCAGAAATTGAAAACGAGTTAAAGGAAAAATTGTTCGATCCGAATCGACCGTTCACCACTGAAGCACATGTGGATCAGCGCCTAATGACTGACTGTTTAACTGCATTATTTCGTTTGAATCCACGTAATGCACTACACTCGTTGATTTCTGTTTGCTTGCAAGAGAATGCGCCGAATGCTTTTAAATTGGTTTTGGTGAAAAGTTGTTACGATCTTGCATCCGAGGAAAATCGATTACCATGGAACCCAAATATAGCTTCAATGTATTCGATTCTTGTGTCGCCATTACGTAAACTGTTCCAAGACCATGTAATGTATCGTGATCGTGGTATTGACGCCAGGAAACCCCGAAGAGGTGGTGTTAGGGGATGGGAGGAAAATGAGAAGACGGAGATCATATTGAATATCTTGAAATTATATAAAATTGATCCATCGTTGGCCGTTGTGGTTAGTTATTTTTTTTTATCTCTCTTAATTTTATATTATTGCTTATTAATTCTTGACATCTGTTTTTTAGCAAAGTGATTCTCACGATCTACTAGACGAGAATCGAACGATCATTTGCATCACACAATGTTTAAATTCATCTAGCCAGGTAATTCGTACGATTGCCGCAGAAACTTTATTGCAGTTACATGATCCCGATTACATTGAAAGATGGGGACCACCGGAAAATAAAATGGATAATTTCTGGTGTATAAGTTCGCAAGTAATGTTAGCGGTGGCACGACAGGTTGTTGACTCCAAAGAACGAGAGGAAGGCACAAAATATATGTTGGAATTGTTATATCAGTTGCTTGTTAAACGAAATGAATTCTTGAAAGCAAATCGAGACGTGGCAACTGTCGGAATCAACATACCAGAAAGATTAGCATCCAATATAGCGCTAGAAGTAGCATTATTGGTGTTGTTATGTTCAGCTGATACAGAAATCTGTTCTATTGCGGTCACTTGTTTCGGGCATTTATGTACAGAAGCTCAATTGACCGAAGATATGGATGAACCAAATTCTCAATTAACTATCGTTGAAAATATGGATGTTTATTTAGAGTTATCCTTACCAAATTACACGCTTCCAGGACGCATGGCACAACAAAAACGTACACGTAGATTGTTACGACTAATGAAAAATCATACTCATGGGAATCTTGCCGCCTGGGAAGAAGCATTCAAACGATGGCAAAGCTTAAATGCTATGGTCGCCAAGCCAGTGGAGGACCCTGAAAGACGACCAAATATTTTAGCATTGGCTCGACCGCATAATGGAACTGGAACTACAACCGATATCACGGAAGTACAGACCACTGAATGGCATAATTACACGGGATTCTTATCAGCGTTGGGTGGATGTTGTGTCAATGATCAGCTGATGAATGGTCATTCATCAATGAGTATGGATTCATCGAATCGTCGAATTTCAGCAAATCCACAACATGACATGAATAATTATCATTCGATGGTGGAAGAATTCGTTGAACAAATGGTGGACTTGCTTGTTTGCGATTCCGTATATGTTCGCGAAACTGTTAAAGAAACCCTCGGAGCTGATCTCAGCCCAAGGCTCTATGTAATTCTATTCAAACATCTTGAAAAAATTGTCGCTATGTTTTTTGATGCCGATGGGGAAGCAAATTGTCTCGATCGATATACACTATTCATTGAACAAGCAATCTCTGTATTAAAATTGATTCTCGATCGAATCCAAGATGCCTCTGAAAATCTGTATGCCGTCGATTTTGGAGGCTTGGTATTATCGTTCGCTCGATATCTACATCGTCTTGGCACTGGACATGTCGCACTACGGATAAAAGTGAAAATGTGTCAGCTATGCGAAACACTGATGGCCAAAAAAGACTACATTACTCTACGACAAGAAATCACCCTGCGTAATAAACTGCTGGAAATCATTATCGAATGGACTTCAGATTTCTCATCAAAAGCTGACGGAAATCAAATCTCGGAAATAACACCAAGCAAGAATGAGAGACTACATCGTGACCTGGATCAAGCATGTCTTAAAACGGTTTATGTGTTGCTGGCACAATTGCCATTACAGCCTTCAGATACGGTGCACGAGGCTGATTTAGGTGCTGTAAAAGCACGCTTATTTTACAAATATTTTTCTTTCTTTATAAAACTTTTAAATCGGTGTCGTATTCTGGAGGTACGAGTATTTCTTTTTATATTCATATTATTATGGCGGCAATATCAACTTTAGCTATCTATCTCTTAATTGTTGATGAATTGGTAATAAGAAATATTTGAATTATGTTTTTACTTATAATCTTACAATTTTTTTATAAAAGGCAATCGATAGCGGAACTCATTCCGCGAAGAACAATCAAGACCTACAAATGTTGCTGTCTAAAGTAATTTACATCTCATTTTCATTATTCGAATTATTATCTTTATTATGCCTATTATTAGTATGTGTATCTAATATATGAATTTTATAATAATGGTGACATCAACAGTCTAAGGAATATGTGAAAGATCTCGGTCCACTAAAAGACTACACAATCCTTGCTCTATCAAATCTCTTAAGTGCAAATGTTGATGCTGGACTAAAGTATTCCCTATCGATGGGATATCACGAAGACGCAAAAACCAGAACGGCATTTATGCAAGTGCTCACCAATATCTTGCAACAGGGAACCGAGTTTGACGGGCTCGCCGAGAATGCCATTAATGATCGATATGAGAAATTGGTCGAGGTAAATTCTAAATCTATGAATTTTTTATTTTCTTTATTTTTGCTTAATCATAAATAAATGAATTATGAATAAACAACTTAAATCAAATTAATTTATTATTTTCTTTTTTGGGGATTTAGTTAATCATTGGTTCCGATCTTAGTATCGCATTATCTTTATGTGATGTGTGTCCGGTCAGTGATATTGATGAGGTGGCACAAATGCTATTAACAATATTTGAGTCTCGTGGGAGGACTATGTCTCTTTTGAAAACGGTGATTGAAAAAGAAGTGTCTAGCACCCGTAAGTATATTGCTGTTTTATGAATTTGGTGCTTTTTTTAGGGGATTTATGCTATTAGAAAGTTACTAATAGATACACTTATATGCATATAGTAAATGCAACCGAACTCCTCCGTCGAAACTGCATGGCCACCAAACTACTAAGTGTATTCGCAAAAATGCATGGTTCGGATTATCTACGCGAAACGCTACAACCTGTTCTCCAGAATATTGCGAATAATCTGTCCAATGAGCGTAGCTTTGAAATTGACGAGGGGCGGATTGGAAGCGGCGAAAATATTCAAAATAATCTTTCGAATTTGGATAAGATGGCACAATTGATTCTGGATGAAATTTGCGCTTCGGCTGAGAAGGTTCCAAGGTTTGTATTTATATATTATATTTGCACGCTTACTTTTATGCAATAAATCTTGGAGATTGATATTGATACTGATTCGAGTTAACTACAAACTACAAAAAAAGATCATTCAGAGAAGTTTGTTATTACATATCAACTTCGACCGAGGAGCGATTCCCACAAGCAAAATTTACTGCAGTAGGTGCATTCATTTTCTTGCGATTCTTTTGTCCGGTAATCGTTGCCCCCGATTCGGAAAATCTCGTGAAACAACCGATAAGCAAGGAACTCAGACGTGGATTGCTCCTGATAACTAAAATTATCACGAATATTGCGAATAATGTACTGTTTGGTACCAAGGAACCATACATGACCGTTTTGAATGACTTCTTGGAGCACAATATAGCAAAGGTTACCACATTCTTGCAGGAGATTTCGGTGAGTTTTTGTTTATTGTTATTTTTTTTTTAAATTAATAATCATCCCTCGAATTTAATAATGAATGAATTAATGAATAAACAAATAGATATTCCAAGAGGAACCTCAGAATCAATCTCCAACCACATCAGTACAAAATACGCCTCCACAACCACTACCAATACCAATAGTAAATGAGTCACGAGCAAACGACATCATCAATAATAATAATAATAATAATAATAATAATAATAATAATAATAATAATAATAATATTCTAAGTAGCTCCTTGGGCAACAACTCTACTATAACCATTAATTCCACCAATAACAACAATAGCAATGACGATTTGCGTCTTGATGACGCTGACCTGAAGTTGCTACATAAGCATTTATTCCAAAATGTCGATAAAATCGGCAAAGATTTAATAACACGACGCGTGAAGTCATCACTTAATCCGTTGAGTAGCAATGGAAACATTCTCTCAGAAATTGAACAAACCCAAACAAATAAACGAGCATATGATAAACTGTCGACATTGCTCGCACATCTTGGTCCACCTCCTGAGACGCAAAAAAAAGAATTCACTAACATTAGTTCCCAACATTTCGAGACTAATCACCACCTATTTACGGATTTCATGCGAAGAAATTCGAATCGAAATTTGGATTATATTAAATCGAAGGGATTATTTTATGGTGGTGGATTGTCAAAAGTATTTATTAATTCAATGATTGATATTTAATTAAATTGATTGATCTTACTGACCGATTTTTTATATAGGAAAAAAGACCAGTATTTTATTTCATAGCCCGTCGTCTAAGTTCAGAATCTACGGACATGGACTTATTGATGTATCATGTTCTTCATGTAAGAATCTATTTGAATCTACGTTCTATTCATCCTTCATCCCTCCATACATTACTAATTAATGATAATTAAAAAACAAGACAATGGAAGCTTCGATCGGAAAACCGTTCGAAGTGGTTATCGATCTAACACAATTCACACACGCCAACGAAATCCAAACCCAATGGATTCAACAATTTATTCAGATCCTCCCGTTCAATGCGGTTGAAAACCTAGCGAATGTCTACATGTATAATCCCAACACAGCATTTAAAAAGTTTTCAAAGAAATTGCCAAGGCCATTGTCCCAGAAAATCGGGAAAAAAGCTATCTTCATGAATTCATTGTCAGAGTTGCATGAGTACATAACACAGGCAGATGTTCGGTTGCCAAAGACTACTGGTAAGCTCGCAAGGGAATTTAGGCACAATGTTTTTTTATCGTATTTAGGATACTTACTGATATATTATTATTTAAAGTGCAACTGGATTCGGAACCTTGTACACAGTTTACTCCCGTCACTAAAATATCTCATTATAGGATTACTATTCCCGTAATTATGAAGATTAGCAATGAAACGATACAAGTTATTACGGTATACATCAACACATTTATATTCAATCAAAATTTAATATATTATTTCAATTAGTTGTTAAATATTTTATTTCCTTTCCCAAAAATAGACTCGAAAGCAAGATTTATTAAACGGTCAACAAGTAATACTAAATGACATTTATCATATCTCGGAGATCGAAGACATCACATTGTCATCACACAAAAACGATGACAATGAATTTGTAATAAAACAAGATGAAGGTCGTTTGTCAATCGCGTTCACAAGTCCAAGACGAGATCAAATTATGCAAGCAATTCGCGCTTCGAAAGCTCGATTTCAACTAACAAAACCATCAAATGTCACCGAGCGTGTTATTCGTCCTAGCGATGTACCAGGGACGCTGTTAAATATGGCACTTTTGAATATTGGTAGCGATGATCCGGGTTTGCGGTTGGCGGCTTATAATTTGCTGGTGGCATTAAGTGTTATATTTAATTTCGATGTTGGAAACCAACTTTTGAGTGCGAAGGGTAAAAAAATATTTAATAAACATCTTGATTATTTTATCTTTATGATAATTAATTTTCTATCGTACTATCACCATCTATTAATTTGTTTATAGGACTCTGTATACCAGCAAATAATTCGAATTTTGTCGTATCATTAAGTGAACGGCTTGCCATGACCGAACCCGGTCTCACAATCGAATTTCTTAACGAGTTTTTCTGTGGGTTCAAAAAGTCAAGTACTCCATTGAAACATCTTTGTCTTCAATATATGGCACCTTGGCTACTGAACTTGGCCCAGTATAGCAAGAACGGGAGTGATAATCAACCAGGAGTCGGTAAAATACGAGAAATTCTGAGAAAGTTGATCGAGTTGACCACTAAAGAGACTGAGGTAAATTAACATTTTCTGTTTAGTTTTATTATTAATTTTTTTATTTTCAAATTTTTAATTTGCAATGATTTTATATATAGATGTACACTTCGGTCCAGTCAAAAATCTGGAACACGCTGGGGAAAGTTGATGAAATCACCAATCTAATTATCAGTGAGTTTGTTGCCTATGCTGTCGAACATGGAATCAATTCTTCGCACGCCGAAACGGTCGCGAATACTATTGTTACATTGTCTTCCGTCAATGTTCGAGGAAAAATTATATCAAGACTAAGAAGGGTTAGTTAGTTTATTTTTATTTATTCTTGAATCAATTCAATGCTAATTATTTCTATTTATCTATTTAATAGGCAATCAACCGAACATCATTAAAACCCACACGAACACTAACCGAGAATCCAGCATGGAATGAAATCGCAGTGCTCGTGCGATTCAACCTAATGCTATCATTCAACAATCGCCTCCACGTGCAATTATACCTCCCCGAACTATTTTATATAGTTTCGGTACTAGTTGCCACTGGACCAGCGGTAATCCGATCGTCAATTCATGGCCTAGTTGTCAATCTTATTCAATCATTGTGTACGGCAATGCCATTAGATGAGTCTAGTTATGCACGGTTGACTTTCTTATTACGTGAATTTTCGGAACCCAAATTTCGACTATTGTTTGGTTTGAATAATGTTGCCGGCAATGCATTTGTTATTACTGGTGAGTCGGCGCATGATATCGCCGAGATGATGCCGTTGACCTCGTTAGAACAGATTGTGCAGGCTTTGCTGGAGATTATGGTCTGTGGGGCTCCATCAATAGGCAAGTATTTTTTTTTATTTTTCAAATTGATAATTATTTTCTATTAAATATATATATGAATTAATTATATTTCCTATATCATTAATATATAAATAAATTTAGACATGTCAAATACTTGGAGAGCAAGATGGATGAGCCTTGTAGCAAGTACAGCATTTCAACATAATCCCGCCATACAACCACGTGCATTCGTCGCACTTGGTTGTTTAGCACGCGAAGAGGTCGATGATGACCTTCTATATCAAATACTTGTTGCGTTACGTGGTGCGCTCTTAATGTTCTCAGAGAACGACGTCTCTCTGATCATGAGCATAATAATGTGCCTTACAAATATCGTTGAAAATCTCGACAGCAGCTGTCGATACATCAGACCATTATTCTGGCTCGCAATGTCACTAGTACAAATAGGGAATCTTTTAGTATTCCCGAGTGCGATAAAACTCTTACAAGTGGTGTTAAGGGCACTAGATGTGAATGGATTTTTTGAGCAGAGAGATATAGCAAAGGTCTTACTGGAAGCTCGTGCGCCGTTGACCGAAGTAGCATCAATGATGGACCATGAAGCCGGGATCAATTATGAACATTTCTCGTTCGCTGTCGCAGCCGCCTTACTGAAAGGTCTCAAACATCCCGCCACAAAAACTGATACACAGGCCGTCCTGAATTTGTTCCTCGAGATAGCGTCAAAAAGTATCGGCATTAAGAAAAACACTGTCGATGCAAGCATGCTCGGATATTTGGCTGCATTACTTCCAATCTCGGCGAAAAATGCTGAAATGAAAGAATTGCTTTGGGTTTGTGGACTTTTTGATATGGAGGTGGATAATGCCGAACTGGCAAATACGTATTACAAAGTATTTCAAAAGTTGGATATTCCCGATAATCAGACGGCTTTGTTGTTAATTTCTTTGATGGTGGCTATGTTGCAAAATGCGGAACATGAGCCTGAAAGGTTGTTTTTATATGGGTTTTTGTCGGAAGCTGCGGTTGCTATTCCTGAAGTTTTTGCTTTAGTGTAAGTATTTCATTATCATCTTTTCTACACACAATACAATAATAGATCAAATTATTATAATTATCTGAAATACTAAAATTATTTCTTTCACGAATAGTCATGACACTCTCCAACCAAAAATGAATCAGATAATCACAAGCAGTGACACTCTCTCAATCCTCGACGCTGTTCAATCAATTTTGTACACTGTTGTCTCGGAACCACTGTTCTCGCGTACACGCGGTAATCATATGCCATTTTTGGAGGAGATCGGCTTCAAAAATTTGATGGAGTGCGGATCGTTCCATGGTATTACTAGAGAGAAGATGCGCGCGAATGCGCTGTTGGCTAGTGATTTAATTTATAAAATTATTGATAATTAAAAAATTTATTGGACTTTTTATTAGTTTTCATGATTTTGTTTATTCTTGTTAATATTTTCTATTTTATTTAAAATTTTAAAATAATGATCATTTTTTGTTTTCATTTTTTCATTTTCATAAAATAATGTTTAGTTTTTTTTTTTACTTGTATTTATTTATTTCTTCGCTAGTAGACATAATCATAATTTATTAGTCCATTAGATCAAATAGAACAATGCATTTTTAAATAGCAAAATTTTCAAAGATAAAATGACATTTCCTGCTAGAATTAATTTGGTTCCATACTAAGAACAACTTGGTTAGTATCTGTTGCTCATACAACACGTTTTATTTTCGGTTTCACTTGTTGGTCGATAAGAAAGAAATCAATCCAATCACATGACTAATAAAGTTTTAATAATAATAAATTCTACGCTTTTCATTACACGTAAAAATAAATGTGTGGAATACTAGCACTTTTATTAGCTGATTCTACAGCTTCAGCGAGCATAGAACTTTTTGAAGGTTTACAGATATTACAGCACCGAGGACAGGTAATAATTGTGTTTCGTCTGATTTGTCAGAGTTTTCTCGAATCCTTTATAAGGCTATTAAGTGATCCTTTGCCCGTTTATAATAGGATGCCGCTGGAATTGTCACCTGTGGTCACAAAGGACGTCTTTATCAATGCAAAGGCAACGGAATGGTACGAGATATATTTGACCCTGAACATTTACAAAATTTAGTTGGAAATTTAGGAATTGGTCACGGTAAATTATTATTTTTCATCGAATTCTTTTATTAATTTCCAATTATATTATTGATGCTTAAGATTTGGTTGCTTTTATGGTTTTTCGTTAGTTAGATATCCAACAGCTGGAACTTCGTCGCATTCTGAAGCACAACCGTTTTATGTGAATAGTCCATATGGCATTGTGTTTGGTCATGTAAGTTTATTAGTATTAGTATATGCACAAATATGCACATATTTTAAAATTAATACTTTATAATCCGAATAGAATGGAAACCTGATTAACGCAAAAGACTTAAGAAATTTTCTGGACACGAATGCACATCGGCATATCAATACCGATTCAGATTCAGAATTGTTATTAAATATTTTTGCAAATAATTTACAACAGACGGGAAAATTTAGGTGAAATAATAATCATATTATGATTATTAGGTTTCTAAGTAATTATTTATTTATTGTTGAATTTATTTATTTCACCGATAGAATTAACGAAGAAGACATTTTCACAGCGATCACTGGCCTTTATAAACAATGTATTGGTGGTTATGCTTGTGTGGCCATGATAGCCGGTATCAATCTTTATTAGTTTTGTTGGCTGGAATTGGGTGTAGAGTTTGGAACCGGTTTTATATATTAAAAATCAAACCGGTCCCAAATTTTAATTGAGTGAAGGTGGCATCGATTGTGAAACAAAATTTGTTTGGAATTATATATGATAAATTTTCTTATTTTTGAGATATAAGGTTTTGGAATTATTGGATTTCGTGATCCAAATGGAATACGTCCGATCTGTTTGGGAAAACGAGAAGGTTCAAAAGGTGTTGATTATATGTTTGCCTCGGAAAGTGTGGCACTTGATGCATCTGGATTTTCTGGTATTAAAGATATTAAACCTGGTAAGAGGGCTTTATAAAATAGAATTATATTATACTATTTTCCCTTAACAGTAATGATTACTATGATATGAATATGAAATAGGTGAAGCGATAATTATCACCAAACAAGCAGTCACCCAAAAAATCTTGGCAGAAACGAGTCAATTCACTCCATGTATATTCGAGTATGTGTATTTTGCAAGACCTGATTCGGTGATTGATGGAATTTCTGTCTATCGATCACGATTAGCGATGGGCGAATTTTTAGCGGATCAGGTTAAGCAAAAGTTTGGTAATAATGATGATATTGATGTTGTTATTCCGGTATCTTTGGTTTTTTTTATTTTTATCAAATTTGTATTGGATTTTGATTTTGATTCAAGTAACATTATTATTCTTCTTAATTAGGTACCTGATACAAGTCGTGTGGCAGCACTACAAGTCTCTTATAAATTAAAAAAATTATATCGGGAAGGATTCATAAAGAATCGATATGTTGGACGCACTTTTATAATGCCCGGTCAACATATGCGCCGAAAAAATGTGAGACGAAAATTGAATGCTATGGCTTTAGAGTTTGCTGACAAGAATGTTCTTATTGTCGATGGTGAGATATATTATTTAACAAAAATAGATATTTAATGTTTATATTTGGTAGTTGCTGAATGAATTAATACTAAAAAATTTATTATGCATTAGATTCCATTGTTAGAGGAACAACTTCCAAAGAGATTGTGCAAATGGCTCGAGACGCCGGTGCAAAAAAAGTATACTTTGCATCGTGTGCTCCGGCTATAAGGTACGACTTCTTTTAACTACAATGCTTCTATATTTGAATTGTTGGGGAAGAATTTTGGTATGGGTAAAGGGAATATTTAAAAAACTGTAAAAATAATATTAATAACTATTGGATAAACAATCCAATATCAGATATCCTAATGTATATGGTATTGATATGCCATCACGAAACGAATTAGTCGCGCATAATCGAAGTGATGATGAAATTGCTATTGAAATTGGAGCTGATAAAGTAATTTTTCAGGTAACTAACAAATACAACAAAATAAATAAATTTAAAAACGAAATTAATAAATCGTATTTTTATTATCATCAAATGCTATTTCACAGGATCTAAACGACCTAATCGCATCATGTCACAAATTCAACCAAACCATCAAAAGATTTGACTGCTCCGTATTTGATGGAAAATACATAACGGATGCCGTGACTCCCGAGTACCTTGAAAATTTGGAGGCGATACGAAATGACCGCGCAAAATCATTACGTGAAAATATTCAAGCTCCTGAAACAATGGGTCTTCATAATAGTTATCGTGCTTTATGAATTTTCTGAATTTTGTTTTTATATTTCCTACCTTTTTCGTTCATTATTCATGATTCTTAGCTTTTACCATTATAATATCTAATATAATTATCATTTTTTTTATCCCTTCGTCATCAGAATAGACTGTATTAATATGCATTACTTAACCCTTGTTTATTACGATACAAGTATATAATTTTGATATACCTTAGTAATAGATGTTGACATTGAGAATTGTGAAGTATATTTTACGGATCAGAATAAAAAAAGAATATTTTACTCTTCGAATTTAATTCATGAAATTCTTCTTTTATTGATAATTAAAACTTTGATTTGATGGTTCTGTTCTCTAGATTAACCAAAACGCGAAAAGGCAAGAGAGAGACATAAAACTCAATTTTATTAATCATGAATGATGAAAATCGATGTAATTTGTTCTTTCCCTACTGACAAAAAATACGGGATAGAAGAAAAATACAAGCTAAAAAGAATAGGATTGATATAAGTAATCTAAGGCGAACAACAAAGTATGGAATAAATTCAGTCAGAGTCTATTTTTCTTAGTTAAAAAATAAACTAAGAGAACAAACGAAAATACGCGACTTTATAAGCAATTGAAAAGCTTATCAAATAGCTTGTCCTTGTTTAACCTGAATAACTAATTTTAGTTAAGGAAAAGTTTGAGATTTGAAATCTTTACCAATGGAAGAAATATAGCTTGTGCTATTTTCTCATCTGGTTGGATTGTATATGGTGTATTAGAATTATTGGTGAGTACTATTCCAATATTTCCAGTATATCCAGCATCTATTATTCCAGCTTTAACTTCTATTCCTTTGCATGCAAGTGATGATCTAGAAGCTAATTGGCAATATACTAATTGTCCACCTTTGAATGTTCCAAGAGGGCAGACAACACAAAGTGTATTACGGTGATATTTCAAATCCCGATGAAATTGACAGATAGCATTGAAATTGATTGCTATGGTGGGAAAAGCTCCAAAAGATTTGGGAACCTTGCTACCTTAAAAGAAAGAAATAGAAAATGATCTGTTAATGATTCAAAAAATTTATAAAGTACACGTACATACATATACATACATATAAAATGATGAAACATGGGTATTAGAATCGTATGAGCTGTCAGCACACTTATTAGGACTCCTCGTCTTTGAGCTCGAATTTCGTCGAGCTGGATTATATGTAAAATACATTCAAAATCCTTGGTGGAGGTCTCTCGCCTAGAACATATAGCAATGTCCGATTTAATAAAATCAATTCGGACAAATGTATAGTTGTGAATTTGTGTTAATAAAAAATTCGAAGGAAGTTTTACCTTCTTTGAGCATGGGTATTCGGGTACAATTTATTTTGCGGCCGTTTCCAACTCTTTTCTGCGTATAAGAGCGTACTACTTTTATATAGAATATTGCTTTTTCCGTTATCTCAATTTTATTGCCGCGGGAATTTCGTTGATTGTCGTAATTCTTTGGTAATATATACGAGGTGAATTTAAATAGCATCTTACACAATTCAAAAAGCTTCGTATAACGATAACGCTACCTGTCTCATCTTTCATTACGAGAACACAAAATTGATTGGTCGGAGAAATAGGATCTTATTCCGAAATATGTTCGTTCATTTTCCGAGACAATTTTGCATAAATGGCAGCGGTGGCCGTAGTTATGGATATCATTACTCAAAATTCAATTATTTTCTTAATGTCCTACGATTCACTAATAAGATTCGCTGTAGTAGTACTATTAGTATTAATGGCAATAGTGGGACACCAACACCATTGTTTCGTAATAAATGGGAGGCTGTCATTGGATTGGAAATTCACGCACAAATTAAATCTAAAACAAAATTATTTTCATGTATGCTTTCTATAGAATTTTTTCGGTTTCTTGAATTGATGATAATCATATATTTATTTTTATTAGCATCATCAACATCGTTTAATAAGCCCGTAAATACTAATGTTTCAGTGATTGATGCTGCTTTTCCAGGAACGATTCCGGTATATAATTTATTTATTTTCGATCTTGACTTTAGACCAATCTGTGGATTTATTTTTATTCTTTTGATTTTAGCAATTGAATGCGAGGTGCGTCGAATTAGCAATATTAACATCCTTCGCTCTATCATGCAATATTCAACGTGTTTCGTCATTCGATCGGAAACATTACTCGTATCCGGATTTACCAGCTGGATATCAAATCACTCAACATTTTGGTAATCCTCAATAATGACAATAATTTTTTCCCTATCAATGATATCAATTTCATTACTTTTAATAAATAATCCTTTAGCTCCACTAGCTATAAATGGCAAAATATCTTTATCATCATTGTTAGATGGTCTGGAATACGATAAGGAGATAAGAATCAAACAGGTGCAACTCGAACAGGTATATTTTCTATGCGTGATTCTATTCAATTTTTTAAAGCTTAAAGTTGAGACATGTTTATTTCATTACTAGATTTGATCTTTTTTAAATATTCTTTTCCAAGTTTAGGACACTGGAAAAAGTCTTTACGAAATAGGACCAGATGGATACCCGGTGACATTGATTGATTTGAATAGAGCCGGCATTGGTCTTATGGAAATAGTTACTGAGCCTGATATTAGGTAACAAATGAAGTCTCAAGTTTGTCTATGTCTTTTTACTTAATTCGTGTGTATATAAAAGGTCATCAAAGGAGTCCGGATTATTGGTTCGCAAATTGCAAAGTTTACTTCGAGCTGTTGGATCTTCTGATGGGAACATGGAAGAGGTAAATTTATTATGAGCTAATCATGCACAGTAACGTGCCAATTATTAATTTTTAGTAAATGTAAAAATAAGGGATCATTACGCTGTGATGCCAACGTATCAGTCCATGAACCAAGCAAACCATTTGGCACACGATGTGAAATAAAAAATTTGAATAGCGTAAAATTCCTGATGTCTGCGATTGGTAATTCTTTTACGTTTGTGCATATTTGATAAGTATCCCATTAACATCAACTAAAGAAGCCAATAATTATTGTATAGATGCAGAAATAGAACGTCAAGTTGAATTATTAGAACAAGGAATACCAATCATGCAAGAAACGCGTAAATTTGATGTACCCGGGAATAAAACACTTCGATTACGTGCTAAGGAATCTTTAATGGACTATCGATATATGCCAGAAGCTGATTTACCAGAATTGATATTATCCGAGGTTTATACAGTAGATTGGCAGTTATCTTTGATTGTTATGATATAATAAATAATTATAAATTTCAGGAATATTTGTCGCGTATCTATCAATCATTACCAGAGTTACCAGACTCCACAAAGTTTCGGCTAACGCGACAATATGGTATTTCAGCGTTTGATGCTGGTGTTGTGTTAGGTGAAGAGGGAGGTGTTGAATATTTTGAGAAGGTTAATTTTTAATCTTTTTTTCTTTTGTAAAAAAGCTTCATTTCAGTATATCATATATGTATAATCAATAATATTTATAGATAACAAATAATCGTAATCCGAAACTTGTCGTCAATTGGTTTGTATGTAAAAAATGATCTTTAAACAATACAAACATATAAATCCGTTAATTAATTATAGGATAACCCATGAACTATTCGGGCAATTGAAAACTCGTAATGTCAAATTCATCGACAACCCAGTGACAGTCGAACAACTTGGATCTTTGGTCGATAGTGTCAATCAAAATATAATATCAGGCACAACAGGAAAACAGGTTCTGGCATTTATGATTGATGGCGACACTCGTCTTGCGAACGCAATTATTCAAGAAAAAGGATTACAACAAATAAACGACAGCGTGGAACTTGAAAAAATCTGTAAAAGAATTATGGCAAAATATCCAGATGATGTAAATTATTCCGTTTTTTGGGGGGGGGAAGTTTTTTTTAATTTCTTTTTCTTAATTTTCTGAGCGATTGATCGATCTGATTTCAGATTCAACGAATCAAAAAAGGTCAACTCAAAGTATTTAAATGGTTTGTTGGTCAAATTATGCGCGAAACAAAGGGACAAGCGAATCCACAATTGGTTAATGAGGTTTTGAAAAAATCTATTGAGGCGAATCTTGATGACGATGACGACGACGACGACGATGTTACTGCTACTACCCAAAAATCATAACCTATCAGATTAGTTTATTGCTTTTTGGTTTGAGTGTTTAGTTCATTTATTTTTGTATTGCATAGCTTTGAAGTGATTGGCAAACAATCGACTTGTCTTAAAGTTAAATAAAGACGAAAACTGATCAAAACCTCTGCGGTATAGCACATTTATTATTTGGCTTTGCACGTTGGCAATTGATCATGTCAGCGCTTGCTTAATCCAGTACTGAATCTTAGACTTTCTATTATAAATATTCTATTCATATTGCCGAATATTCTATTATCTATTTAATTTTGAATAGTTAAAATTAGTTATTGAAAAAATGAATGTCACAAAAAGTATACAAACCTGTTTCGGTTCCATGAACGCCAACCAATCAGATGTAGCAGTCGGCAGTAATCCCATAGCGGAGCATTTATATAAACCAAGTGCCATCGTTAAAAGCTGTAGTAGGACAAATGTGATTTTTGGCAATAAAAGTCGTGATTTATTTTTTGGCGATTCGTAACGTTCAAATGCTGAATTTGTTTATTAATAATTAACTTATCAATATCATCTATGATAATATTTGCTTTAAAAACAAATAGAAATGAGAATATAGAGAAAGGGAATTTACCGCTGTCTATCGTCAACAAAGCTTTAATCGGTTGAAAGAACAACATCCCAGTGATCATGACACTAAATATTTGCACCCCGTTCCCGCTCATCCATAGCATGAACGCGTTCATTGGAATGTTCTTACCGGGTGATAATGCTGCATCCCATGCTTTCTATACCATAAATAAAATATTTGTTTAATCAGATTTCTTCTAACGAATTGAATTAACAATTAACAATCAAATAATTGCTATATGATGCTAATAATATATGAATACCTTGATTTTTAGCGTTTCTTGATCTTGCTCTATAACTGCGGCTTGTTGCTGTTGCTGCTGCTGCTGCTGCTGTTGTGAACTAGTTTCTCTTCTACCTCTCTATTTTTTAAACAGGTTTACAATAAACTGAATGAGCTACAAAAAAAATCAAAGAAAAAGTACTATTTTCTTCGTACCGCACTGTTCCGTGTAGAGGGAGAATTTGAAGAAGCTGCATAGCCAGGCGGATCGGCTAATGTGAGTTGCCCCCGATTTCTGCAACGAAAACCATAATACTCAATATACTTAGCACTATCCGGAATTCCCTTTCAGGAACATTTATCTATTACTATTTATACCTTGAGGGATCCAAACTTGCAAAGTCAATGCTCCAATTTTTTGACATTTTTATATAATGTGTAGTTTTGAAGTGATCGTCAATGATATGCCAATGTCACTTGTTCGTGTATAATTGATTATAATCTTAGTGAACATAATCTTATTGGATAATTATATCATACAATTTTATTGGATGTAATTCACCTTGCAAAATACCAGTGTAGACATTAGGACATGAAATAACAAGTCATAAATGTAACTAAGTGGCTACAGTCAGACCTCCCTAAGTGCACGTTCTATAAATGCACGGATTATATAAATTCTCTCTAAATGCATGGTATAGCTTGGTTCCAGCTTACAAGAACTCTGCATTTTGCTCTCTATAAATGCACTTTTTATATTTTTTTCACTATGGTCCGGGAGGGAGGTCTGACTGTACCCAGATATCAATATAATGTTAGAAATGTTTGCATTCTTATCTGTAATAATATATTTTTCTTAATTTAAACTTGGTATATTACAAGAATATTATGTAGATAGTATCAGATTCAAAATAAACTAATTTTTTGATAATTTTATCAAATTAATTCTATCAATTAGTAAAAATTGATTATTACAAAAATACTAATATTATAAACATAGTATTTAAGTTAATATCATATGATATCAAGTGATTTGTATCACATACGTATATTATTATTTTTCTTTATACAAAATTTCCAAAATAATATACTCTTCACCATATAATATATCTGAAGGTACACTATCAGTCAAATACATGTAAGAGACTCGGGGTATTTTGCAAAATGAATTACAGTAGTGTTACAAATGGAAATTTCTATAATTTCCGAAATTCCTATAATTTTTATAATCCCTTATTTTCGTCTTAAATTTAACCCGCATTTTTCATTTTTATTGGTTTGTACCACCAGAAGGTCAAAATTCCGCATCCTCAGGTACAAGTTTTCGTGGCTTCGATGTACTGTTTGACATTTGATATTGAAATTCTATTTTCATTGTTGTTTGCCTCGTAGCTTATCCGAAACCAGTTCTCGGAAATCCGAGATAATTTTGTTTTCTTTCTTTGCTTTTTCTTCTTGACTATAATCATAACAAATGTTAGTATATTGGATTATATAACAAAAGATAAATTAAATTCTTAAATACACATACTTGAACAACATAAGTGCACGTTTTTCCTCTGCGGAAATAACTTGATTTTCTTTTCTGATACGGACAGCGTTCATACGACGATGCCTATTATATTAGCAAATATAAATATGTATTATTTGTCAATAATGATCGTAAAATATAAGTTTAAATTGATGCAGTTAAACACAAAGAACACTTTACCGACTGCCACTCATCACATATCCAACATCTTCAAATGACTGTATCTGGTTACTAGTAAGTCCAATCTCACCACGTCTCGGGATACGTTTTCCTTCTTGGACGTACGCCGCCATGGCTGAACCTTCGCCTGCTAGTAAAGCACCACCATAACTAATTCAAAATTAAAAAGAAAATCTGATAAGTTTTAACAGAACAATTTTTATTCACTTTTAATAGTATATTATAAAAGTAATATACTTACTCTCTTTCACCGAGTTTAGCATCAGTCACTGGTAAAGGCGCGGGTCCCATATTAAGATCTTCGGGTAACTCGACTAATAAACAAATCAGACGGAAAAAAACAATGAATTATCTTAAAATCATACATCGTTAATATCATAAATCAAAAAAGACAAAAAAAATACTTTTTTTCTCAACCCAAAGTTCATTCATATTAAGGTTCGTCAATTCATTTTCATCAATTTCTATTGCATCATTACTGCCATTATTGTCTTTTTTCGGGCCACTTCTTTCCGTGTCTGAAGACTCGGTAGCAGAGCTGTTGTCAGTGTCACTAACAGAGGGAGAACGATTATGTTTATGCCGATCCTGATGATGGTGACGATGATGATTTTTTGATGATGATTTCGTTGTAGATGACTTTTTATATTTGGATGAACGTTTGCTGCTATTGTGGTGATAGTGACTATGACGTGAAGATTTAGATGTTCGATGTCTTTTCTTTGAATGACGTCGTTTTTTACCTGATATGAATTAAATATATATAAAATAGTAAATAAAGTGAATATCATCATTCGAAACATAAAAAACCACGCAACCGAACATTGTACCTGTCAAGTAAAAATACCTTCACTATCATCACTATCATAGTCAGATTCAGTATCAGATCCGGTGGTGGAAGAAAAATCATCATCGGAATCATCAGTGGCACTTCTCCGTGCACGTTTTCTAGTTCTTGTTCGTCTCGAGTCTCCTCTGCGTTCTGGTACAGGCGAAGTGCTAAAATACAAAGAGTTGTAAAAATTCTTGCAGCGAAATTTATATTCAAGATCAGGAATCGAATGAAAAAATTACCGAACATCATATTTTTCGTGAGGTCTCGGTGAAGGTGGCCAAATTGAAAATGTGCTTTCTTCACGCAAGCGTTTCCGCCTAATGAAAAATTATAGCATATATTCATTTTATTAACAAAAGTCCCCGACTAACTGGCAATAGCAAAAAACGGGCAAATTTATTTGATTTGGATTTACCTTGCAAAGTAAGCGTTACTTTGACTACTTTGCTGCTCATGTTTTACACTTTGGTAACTCATTTTAGAAGATAAATGAAATAACCGATCTATTGTTTTAGGGTTAGGGTTAGGACTGAGATACATGTTTCTATTCTTATTGGCTGCTGGTCATGTTCATTCAAATACATGCGTGACGTCATACCACCTGACTATATATTCATTCATTCACTAAATCGAACGATTTAACGGAGAAGATGTTGGTTATCCACCCATCTACCACCAATAATTCAAATTCAAACACCAGCAACAACAATTCTCCTATCACTCCACTAAACCTCGATGTAAAAACGCTTACAAGCTTTGACTTAGATAAAACATTAGAGCAAGACAACGAAAATGTGGTAACAAAGTTATTTCAGCGAGTAAAGAATTCGTTTAGTGCTGTCTCAACAGTCACAACGGTTACAAGTATTAGCATTAATAATAATAGTAGTAGTTCAGGGTCTGCTCACAATTCATTACAACAACAGCCTACAACACCACCACCACCACCAACACCACCAGCGCCGCCTAATTCTGTTTCGTCAACGACAAATAATGATTCGACAGTAGAAATTGGATCAAGTTCTCCTTCACCAAATTCATCAAACGATAATAACAGCAATAACAACAACAATGATAATGATGATGACGATGACGATGATGATGATGATGACGACGATGACGACGACGATGACGATGACGACGAAGATGATAATTTGGAGCCTCCTTCACGTCCACCCTCCGCTCTTTTACCAGACAAAGAAAAAAAAGGCTTCATACATGGCGGTGTAACACTTGCGCCGCCCATCGTTTCATTAGCGCCCGCATTCGGTAACTCGCCAAATTTATTAATCGAATCAGAAAGAGGTGCGCAAGAAACCCATGCGTTTCTTAATAGCGAATCTGGTGGTGGTGTGAATGGATATGGAATTCCTGAAAATATGGTTCAACGACGACCAGCTCTTTCCTCGCCCTTTTCTTCCTCTTTGACGTTATATGACGCACTCGCTCCGACAAATAATGGCAATAGCAATACACTACATTCTTACAAGGACGTATCTGACACAAAATCTATTAGGTCGTCGGTAATCGGCCCGGTTTCTTCAGTAGGGAATACTAATTCTCTAAAGAAGGTTATTCGAAGGCTGCGTGGTGAAGGACTTAATCAGATTTATTGGATGTCAGATGATATATGTCAGGAGTGTTATGATTGCCAGGCGACGTTTACCACGTTTCGTAGGAAGCATCATTGTCGTGCTTGCGGTAAATAATAATTTTACATAATATTAATGATTGACTGATTTTTGAAATATAATTTAAATCAACCTCAAATTTTAACAAGGTCAAATTTTTTGTAAGAAATGTGCACAACATCTTATTCCTGGCGAGAAGTATAAACTCGATGGGCCTATGCGAGTATGTAATTTTTGTATGAAACTGATGCAAGAATACGGCGATGAATCAGATAGCGATCTGGAACACGCGTTAAATCAAAGGCATGAATTCTCAACCGCTCCTCTTCCCAGACAAATCCCTTCGTCATCCTCGATCCGTGGGAACAATTATTACCGGGCGCCAACGTCGACAATAGACCACGGATTTTCATTAACACCGCCTGTTCCCCATGTTCCGCAAAATTGGCAACCGCGAGCACCATCGCCCGACACACTTTCAATAAATGATGGCATTAAAAAAATGTTTTCAGCTGGTTCTTCGTTGTTTGTTAGTCGCTCACGATCAAATACAATCACCGAAGAACCAATAATAACCACTCTTTCTTCTTCTCCTGCTCCTTTTAGACGCAGTTTAACAGAAGCAGATAAAACAACTCCCGCGGTCAATCCTGAGGCTGTTCTCGATCCTGAAATTGCCCCGTTTATGAGCGATGAAGATCAAGAGGAACATTACGATTCTTGGTCGAATCCGTCAAATGTGCTGAATTTCTTGTCGGCCATGCATCCTAACGATGGTGGTGGAGAATCAGCGACACTGACGCCAGCCGTTTCCGAATATGCTGGTAGTGACGATGATTCATGGGATTATAATATGAAGTCGCAATCGAAATTAATTCAGAAAGGAGACATTCGGCATCATTTTGGACGAGAGCGAGCAGCCAGTACTCGTCGTCGTAGTATCAATGGTGTTAGACCTCCAACTCGGCATGCTAAAAGAGGATATATGCGGCAAATTAACACGTGCGTTGTCCAACCAGAAATCTCTATAAATGGTTCGCCAATAGAACGACCATCTTCGCCATTTTATGCTCGTCATCATCGTTCATCTTCTCAACCAATTAAAATCGAAATTCATCACAGCTTTTTAACACACATGAAACGCTTATTACGCCAAGCACTACAAGAAGCAGACATCGATTTATCTGAAGGATGGGAAGACGTAATCATGAAACTAATGCATAAAGTGTCCGAGAATCTCAATCCCGATATCAGGGGCGGTGATGAAATTGATATACGTCACTATGTAAAAATCAAAAAAATTCCCGGCGGTACACCACGAGATTCTCAATACGTCACCGGTGTTGTCTGCACTAAAAAATTGGCCGATAAAAAAATGGCACGTGCACTTACTAGTCCGCGTGTTTTAATCTTAACGTTTCCGTTGGAGTATCAACGAGTGGAAAACCAGTTCATCTCCCTAGAACCAGTGATAGCGCAAGAGAAAAAACATTTAGAAAATTTGATACAACGCATTGCTGATCTTCGGCCAAATATAGTATTAGTGGAAAAAACAGTCGCACGAAAAGCGCTAGAATTTCTAATAGAACATAAATTAACAGTTGCATTAAATGTCAAGACATCAGTTATTGAAGCGGTTGCTCGATGTACACGCGCAGATATATTGCCGTCGATGGATAAATTTGGGTTGAATCCAAAATTAGGAAAATGTGGTGAATTTTACGTGAAAACATTTGAGCATCAATTGATTCCTGGTAGACGAAAGACATACTTATTTTTCGAGAATTGCCCCAAAGAATTGGGATGTACTATTGTTTTGCGAGGTGGTGATATTGAAACCCTTGAAAAAATAAAGCAAGTCACCGATTTGATGGTGTTTGTTGTCTATAATTTGAAATTGGAAAGTGCACTCATGAATAACCAATCAGCAAGAGCTCCTTCGCATCTTATGGATGACATGTGTGAAGCAAAAACAAATAAAAATTATAACGACTTTAATGCTATAGAAGATAAAGTATCCGAAGCTCTCCATCGATATAAAACAAAAATTCTTTCCGTTTCACCTTTTATCAAATTCCCCGCGCCTTATTTATTAGTAAAAATGGCACAAACTGAACGTAAATTGGCTGAGTTGACATTGCGAAAAAATCGTGGTCTATCTTTAATGAATAATACTAATATTAATAGTGAATATAACGAAGAAAATGATAGTGATGAAGAATCGCAACCATATCCAACAATGAACACTGCCGGTATTGTTCGTAAGGCCGAACAAGTGATTGCAGATGTAGAATTTGCTGATATTCTCAATGAACGGGATCAATTAACTCGCACTTGGGAAAGTCATATTCTGATGAATAACGATGTTAGCCCATTTGCACACCAAAATATTGTTGTCTTGTATTCGAATGTTTGTACAGTAACGCAGGTCCCTTGTCAAGGACCAGAGATTCATATAATAGAGTATTATAGCGAATCCGATCGTACTCTGGGGCAATACCTCGAGGAAATGTGTTATGATTCCAGTTACCTCTGTCCAGCTAAAACATGTGATCGACCACTGCAGATGCACTATAAAAGTTATTGTCATGGAAATGCCCGGATAAGTGTTGTGATTGAGCAGTATGATTGTCCTTGCCCTGGTATGGAAAAAACAATCCTCATGTGGAGCTACTGCACAAAATGTCAACGAGCAACCCCGATGGTGCCAATGTCGGAAAACACATGGAAATATTCATTTGGTAAATATCTTGAACAGTCATTCTATCAAACAGAACTTCGTCGTATAGAGAACTGCCCACACGCAATTTATCGCGATCATACTCACCATTTCTTCAGCCTACAAAATCTCGCGGTTCGTTTTGAATATCAGCCTATAGATTTGATGGAAGTGTCGGTACCACCGATGATTCTACGCACAAAGCCAGAAGTGACCATTCGCTTGAAGGATCAAGATTACGAGACGTGTAAGTTAAAAATTACAAAATATTGGGAATCTGTTACAGAACGAATAAAAACTTTCGATTATGGGATTGTTCAGCCCGAGAAACTTGAAGTTTGTAAGCAAGAATTGTACGACATGTCGAGTAAAGTATTCAGCGAGTCGAAAAACATGCTTCAGCAACTTAATCAGACATACGTGAACAGCTCTCCTGATGATACTTTGGCATTGAATCAAGTTAGGGTAGAATTACATGAAAAAGTCGTACAATGGGATCAATCTTTCAATGAGTTTGCCAGACAATACTTCCAGCCACGTATGACAACTAGGCAACTGAAAAGAATGATTTTCGATAAAGGTTATCCTATAAAAGAATTGCCTTTATCGAGTTTAGAAGAGATTTTCTCGGAAAATAAACCGCAAATTGAATCACATGAACTAAATGCAGTAAATGAAAAAGAAAAGGAACTTTCTCGAACAGATATTGAAAAAGAAAAAGAACCGGAAAAAGCCACTTCTCTAAATATTACTAATATAATAGACCCAAAGCATCCACAGAAACCCAAATTATCTCAACGAACTGTTTCTGAATCTAAAATATACTCCAATATGAATAATAACCGAAATCAACAACAATCTGAATTCATTAAAGAAGAAATTAACAAGTCAGCTCCAAATTCTTCTAAAAGAAAGCCTTCTTTGAATAAGTCTACAGATGATGGCGATACCACAAAGATTAATTCTGTAGAAAATAATCGAACCGCTGATTTGTCCGTCGATAATTCCAGGGAAATTTTGTCTTCAGCAGCAGCACCAACAAATGATGGTCTCGTGTCGGACTCAAATCCACGTGTTAGTGTTCTGACCCGTGGTTTGGAAAAAGCAAAAAGGGAAAATACACAGGAACGTCCTGCGAGTAAAGGAAAAAAAATCAAGAAAAGTGAATCTGAATCATCTTCTGAAAGGCCTTCAAATTCTCGTCAAAATGGAAGATCTGCGCGTATCGACAGTAAATCACGAATACAAGATTCTCGTAGATCTCCTGCTCGTGCATTTGGCAGTAAATTTGCAGCGATAAATAATAAATTAAAAGGCGGCCGACATCATTCTAAACCGACACTCGAAGTTTTTAGCAATGTTAAAGAAGCAGTGAAAGAAGAATCCGATGACGAATATGAAGAAGACGAGAACGAAAAAGATGAACTTTCCAATGGATTACCTATCCCTATGAATAAAACAGAAACTTACGACCAAACGGAAGTTAAACCTGAATATCCATCAATAGGTCATGAACCTTCCGACGAAGCTTTTGTCTTTCATTCGGCAATTCAATATTTGCCTCAAGATGATGAAATTTCACCGCCTGAATCTTCATCAAGGGATCCTGGAAGCTTAAAAGAAATACTTCCCCCAATAGTAAGATCCTTGACTAATCTATGGGCAGAGCGAACTGTTGCTAATCTCAAACCTTTGGAATATCCTTCGTAAGTCTATCACCATCATCATAATTATGATATTTACGATTATATAACCTATCTATAAAACTTTTGTATTTTTCCAGGCTTTCGACAGAGCATGTTTTTGCCGATTCTAATATAATTGTTCGGGAAGATGAACCAAGTTCTATAATAGCATTTACACTTAGGTGAGAATTTAATTCGAAATAAAATTTATTATCAAATGATATTCAAATTTTTCTTTATTATAGTTCAAAAGACTATCTCAACAAACTGCAACTCGAACAACAAACACATCCATCCGCAACGGTTACCGAAGTTTTCGTACCTGAAAACGAAGGTCATCCTGGAACTAATGGCTCTAATTGGGATATGGTTGATATGGACGAGGGTCCAGAAAATATCAAGGATGCATTGCTTCGGGAAACTGGAATGCACATGAAATATCGTAAGTTTTTTTTTTAATTTGACAAATTTAAATTTCATTCAATATTGAGGAGGATGCTGATTCATTTAATTAAACAATAAAATTATTTGTTTTTAGAATTTTCTGAAGGTTCTAGCCAGTTATTTTGTAAGATATTTTTTGCAGAACAATTTGATGCCCTTAGACGTAATTGCGGATGCGAAAGCACATACATACAATCATTAGCGAGATGTGTAAAATGGGATTCGACTGGGGGAAAGTCTGGATCAGCGTTTCTTAAAACAAGAGGTACAAACAAAATTATTCATATTTGTTAGCTAATATTTTTTAATGTGATTTTTATATTAATCATTATAAATGCAACCCAGATGACCGTTTAGTTATGAAACAAATGTCTCGTTTGGAAATGGACGCATTCTCAAAATTTGCTCCAGCATATTTCGAATACATGTCAAAAGCATTTTTCCACGAGGTAATAACATTTTCGAATTTATTTCCGGAAAAGATTATATTAATTAATAGTTCTAATTTTGCGGAAATATTTTATCATCGTTTAGCTTCCTACTGTGCTGGCTAAAATTTTCGGGTTCTATCGAATTGGATATAAGAATGAGCAAGACGGGAAAAATATGAAGATTGATGTTATCGTCATGGAGAATTTGTTTTATGAGCGTAAAATTTCAAAGGTACTTGTATACTTTTTTTGTTGGTTTATGAGTCAATAATATAATATTATCGATAGATGCAACTTTTTCTTTAGTTGATTTCCTTTTGTGTTGGATAATTAATAGATTTTCGATCTCAAAGGATCAATGAGAAATCGCCATGTTCGAAGTACAGGCAAAGAAAATGAGGTTTTATTAGACGAAAATTTACTTGAACGTACGTATCTTGCTATTTGCTTATTTTTTTACACCAATATGTAATAACTATTTTTGTAACATACACAGTTCTCCATGATAAACCTTTGTACCTCCGGGAACATTCGAAAAGAATTCTCCGTGCCTCGTTATGGAATGACACGCTGTTCCTCGGGAAACTGAATGTCATGGACTACTCGTTATTGGTGGGAATTGACGAGGGTAAACAGGAATTGGTTGTTGGTATCGTAGGTGAGTAGTTTTTTATTTAACATATATATTTATATCATTTTGTGAAAATCAGAAATCTTTATTTACTATTTATAACTATTAATATTGCCAGATTTCATACGCACTTTTACATGGGATAAAAAGCTTGAAAGCTGGGTGAAAGAAACGGGAATTCTTGGTGGTGGCGGTAAAGAGCCGACTATCGTTTCTCCGCGTCAATATAAACATCGGTTTAGAGAAGCAATGGATCGGTAAGTTATCTAAATATTAACTGAGAATTATTCTACTCCGCTCTCTTAGTTTAGGTTTATCTATAACAACTTGTTCTTTCCTTTATTTAGTTATTTCTTGATGGTGCCTGATATTTGGAGCACACATCGAAAAACACGACCTGGTCCTATTCAACAGCCGAAAGATTAAGATTTTGGTTGAGCTCATAATGTAATAATATTCTCTTGGCAAAGGAATACAAACGGCTTGGAACTTTATATAAATTCTACATATCTTGAGAACCCTATATACTGTCTGTCTTGGACTTTAAAATGCAGAAAATAGTTTTTTTTTTTGGTGTAGAACATCTTTTATGTAAACACGTTTAAATTTTTTTTATTCTCATAGAGGTGTCTTTATTTTATTAGTTTGTACATTCGATTTATTTATTATTTGTAAATTGTATATATAGCACAAATTTGAATATCGATATATTTATTTTTTGATTCGAATGAAATCTTTATATTCTGATGGAAGGATCCAGAACTGTATGTAATTCAAGTACCAGTTTACTCACAATCATCATTATCCCAGCACCTAGAATTTGCTCATCTAAATCAAGTTCATTAAAAGTTATTATTGGTTCGAACCAAATCAGAATATTACTTACAAGAATTACCTCTCTAAAGTTTCGACGCAACGCTCATGAAAGGACAGGTCGCCGTCCGTAGATTGTTTGAGAATATTAACTTCAACAAGTTTACGAAGCATATTGAAAGGCATAATGATTTCAGCTTGCTCGATGCGCATATGATGTACGTTAAGAAGTTTTGTGAAGAATTCATGGTTTCTAGGAACTTCCACAGCACGTAAATTATTCGCAATCTCCAAGAACAGTTGCTTTTTCCATGCTAATGGAATTAAGAATGTTAGAAGAAAACAAATTAATTGAGAAGGAATTGCAACAAATACATACTTTGAAGCAAACTTTTAGAGGTTTGATACTTGACCATTGATAATCGAGCAAACCGCCCGCCCGTCAGATATTTCACCGCATATTCAGCGGTTTCTTGGTCAATACCCGAATTTCGCAAGTATTTCATAGCTTCTTCATCTGAGATATCAACTTCCAAAGCAATATATGCCCGCGACCACGCAGAACGAGCTGTAATAATAGGAATGTGATTTAGTAAGAACAACTCAATCACATATATAAGAATATTAAACTTATAGCATCCTTACATGCCATAAGTTGCGGAACCAAGCCTTCATTCGAGACAAATATAATGACAAGTGTGTGTTTATCCGCACCGTCCTTCGCAAAATCTTGGAGTAACACAAGAAATTCTGGGACTTTCTTAGCAATGCGGTCTGATTGATCAATAATCAAAACCATCAGACGTTTGTATTTTCGCTTATAGTGTAGCGAGGCTGTGAGTAGTTGCTCGCTCAGAAAATCCCAAGTGGGGTATTGTGAAGCATTAGATAGATCTGCACGACAAATAAAGCCTTTGTGAGTATAACGTGATGTGAGTGGTCATGAAGCGAATTACATAGTACCTTTCTTAGTTCTATTCATCCACTGCCACACAAGATATCGAGGCTTCACTGGATCTGACCCACAATTTATTTTTTTGCCAAAGACTCCATATTCACCCTATCAAAAAGAAACTAAACGTGAATAGACTAAAATGGAAGAAAACATTGAATGAATTACCTTTGGCTCTTGGAGATCTATTATAGTTTTGAATTAAAGTTGTTTTTCCTGTTCCATGTTCGCCCACAATTAGATGGTAGTTACTTGGTAAAAAAGAGGGTGGCAAGATTGACTCAACCGAGTTCCGAGGTCCTCGCGATTTGTCATTTGTGTAGATGAACCGGGTTCAAAATATATTTATCCTTTTTTGAATGCGTCCTCTATGTTCCTGACAAGGGCTCCAGGGCTCTCGTAGGCGAAGTACAAGGATAGTGCCAACGCTAGTTAGAATTCTAGTTCCAGGCTAAAAAAGAAACGATTAAAATAATTGTTAAACTTGGTAAAACATCTCAACGCACTTTGATGGAAGTCACCACCGTCTTGAAGGAGTTCCAGTACTTTTTCGGTATTTTTTTCGCCTGTCTATTGATAAGTGTTGAGGTAGTTACAATCAGCTGGAATAATATTTCTTACCTAGCCGTGCTTTCCTTTTCTTGAGCACTACAATAGGATCGGATCATTACTAGTTGACGAGATCTAGTGAAGTTAAACACGTCACGTCGCAATGAAGCGCATGCGAGACAAGAGAGTATGTGCCTTCAATAAGTTCATATCGAAGTTCGAACGCGTCGAAAATTTTTTGTCAGTTCGGTTGTACAAAGGTTGATTTATGATCGAACTAAAAAATTCCCACGCTTTGTATGACAAAAAAATTAGTTTGGTGTTTTACTAGTACAATCCGAATTGAGCCAATCCATATATATCCAGATTTATTTGATCCAATTGGCGAGTCACACGTGTTATATATATTGTTACCATTTTAATAAGACTTTCAAAATACTCAAAGGTACTTATAAAATTTAAGGAATATTCAAAGGAAAACTTCCAATGTCTTAACGACAATTCAAAATATTAATAATACTTTATGACTATTAGACTAAATATGAATAAGTACTAAAAGTACTAGTGACAAAATCACTTAAAGATTGATAACAGTTGTGTTCTTTTAATGTAATAACTGAACTGCTAAAAAGAGTTCTCGAAATCTCAATGTCAAATATAATATTGTTACAATTATTTTCAATAATTCCGTAATTAACGAATCTTTTAAAAATAATAGAAAATATGAAAATCTTCAAA